AAAAGAATTTAATTTTTCACTCGATTTTTGCACTTGGTGCACCTTATTTATATTTAAGTTATATAATCAGTGTTTATTTAACAATTTAGATGATCTTCTAATGAGCGAATCAGTTCTAAATGGATCAAAAAACATGCTCTCAAGCACAAATAAAAAGCCTTAAACAAATGACAATTGATTAGACTTTGAAAATTCAGTAAAAATATGTATTGTTGGCATCAAAATATGATGCATCATAATGTTTTTTGATTGTCTCGAGAACAGAACCAGCTAGAAATCTGTGTTTTGGATCAGTCGCAAAAAGGAATATGGAAGAAGTATGTGAAGATCTTGACATTGGTCAAGGTAGTCAATTTAGCTCTAGGTTTAACTCAATCTTACAAAGAAAATCTGTTAACTAATTATAAGTTTCAATATAGCTGATCAATATCGACGATATTTCTTTAGACCATTCTCGCAAAGTCGACTCTTCTGTGTCATTCCATTCAAAAGTTATAAGCGTTTTAATAGAGGTCTCAAGATCACTCAACTGACCACTGACCGATCTAAACTTCCAACTCAACTGAATCTAATGACAATGCTTATTATTTTAGTTTTAAATTTATTTGACTTCGGAAGAATAAGACCTAAAAAATATTTTTTTTTCCGACGTTAAACACTTCGTATAGACCAATTAAGGAAAATCGTAATTCAGCATTCAATGATAATCTTGGAATCCAAAATAAGTATTACCGTTCGACTCAAGTTAGTCGAATATTTAGAAGTCAAGACTGTTTAGATGGACTAGTGTGTAATCGATTAATTTCAAGAGTTACAGTAAAACACTTATAACTATTGAATGAAATAAGCAAGAGAAATCTGCTTTATGCAGATTAACAAAGACATGTCGTTGATATTGATCAGATAAATCGAAATTATAATTATTTAAAATTTTTTTTGTCTAAAATTTCTCTTAAGATCTACGATGAAACTCACTAGCTTCACTAATGTCATAGTCGAAATGATTTAATAGAATTTTACATACTTTCTCCACATTTCATTTTCTAATGGTAAAAGACGTAGATTTTTAGCTGATTAAGTTATCGAAATATTTAGAACACATTGAGTACTTGATATTTTTGGAATCAATGATAGTTGATTCTATTATTTTCACAAATCGCATATTGAACATCATTGATACAAACAGAAAAACTGAAGAATAGAAAATATTTTATTCTATTTTATTTTAAGAGAAGTTCCATTCGACTTGCTTGCTAACATAGAGAAGATAAATGCATACAAAAGTACTTCTTACTCCCTCTCACTGTCTCCGCTCTCCCTTTTTTCAAGATATACTTCTCATAGTCACTTCTTTTCTACATCGAGAATTTAATCATGAACATCTAAAACAAAGGAAGAAAACTCATAATTGCTTTAGCAATCGTATTTTTCTTTTATTTAACAAAAAATAATACATGATGAATAGAAGTCTCAATATTCGAGAACCTTCTGTCATCTATCTACAGACCAGTTTTCTTCTACTAGGAATCATGCAAATTATCAATATTCTTATAAGCTCAATCCTTATATTAACTATTATTTTTCATCGTACACTTCGTACAATACCCAATTTATTAACGGCTAATTCTAGTTTAGCCATATTTATATATGCTTTAGCTACCATTGCTCAAATTATCGTTGGATTACAACCAAGAGATAAAGGAAAAGAAGATTTATGTATATTTCTATCTTATTTTACAACCATAGCATTAGATCTAATCTGTTATTCTTATCTAGTCACTGCCATAAGTCAATATTTTTTTAATATTTTATATCGTCAAAAATACTTGTTCACCTTTCTTAGTCATTGGTTCATTATTATTTTTAGTTGGTTTATCAGTTGTCTTCTTCCACTTTTCCTATATCTTCCTGGTAAGTATGTAAATTTTCTTAAAGAAGACTATAGATATTCAGTTATTTATAGGTGCACTTCAATATTCATCTGAAATGCACATGTGTTGCTTGAAGATGTCTTTTCAAGGAATTCTATTTGTTTACATGGGTACCGCTCTTGGCATACCTTTCTTTGGCATTGTTACTATATATCTATATATTACAAATCGTACACGACGCATACATATCATGACTATTGCAATCACAACTTCATTATCAACGGCAAATAGAGATTTACGTGTGCTTAAAAAAATACTTACATTAATCGGTATTCTGGGTACAGCTGGTTTGCCAAATATTGTTCTTCTCATTTGGAATGCTTTTTCATCGGATGGAGCACCTGTTTCACTCTATCTTATATGTGCTCTTACGATTAGTTTTTGTACGAACATACAAATTTCATTTATTTTTTCAATGAATAAGAATGTAAGAGTTATTTTCTGGAATTATGTACAACGTATATTATATTAATTTTGTTTAAATGTAAAAAAATTATTTGACACACACTATTATAATAAAAGGAAAGAACTTTACAAATAATTTAGAAGTTTAGTAGAGAAATATATTCGAATGAAACGAAGAATACAATTCTAAAATAGTATATTTGACTTTTTGTAACCAGACTGATCAGTTCGAATCGATTGCAAAAAAAAATTTAAAAGGTTTGGACGTATGACTTAGCACATACCAAAAATAATGAAATTTTGAAGAAAAACATGTGCAGAAATAAGTTATTCAAGATTTTATTTCATCGAATGTTCGAAGTAATTGCTTTTGGTTATTGACGGACAATTACATAAGCTCAAGCAATTTATCGAGATTCTATTTTATAGTTATTTATATTGAGCGAGCTCATATTCTTGATTACAGTAAGGCGCAAGGATTGTGCGTTACTTTGATCTGTTAGATTCTGTTTAATCAGATTGAATCACTAAAAATGAGATGGCATCAGTTCTGGAGAATTCGGTTGCTGTTGAATAATTTTAATATCTTTCGATTTGAGATAGTTCGAAACAGCTTTTATGAACATACGGTTTGATATCTATTTCAGATGCTAGTCGTTTTATCCGGATATTGTCAATGGAGAAATCCAGGCAATTATCAGTATAATAGCAGTTGTTAATGGTTTGTCCTTGTTCAACATGATGTTTTAGCTCAAAACTAATCGTTTTAAAAAGGATTTTTGGAGTAAAGTGGCTGCGTTGAACTACACTAAACGAAGTTCCATTAATTCGCAGAATTTTTTCTTTGATGTGATCCTTCAAAGTTTGTCAGAACGAATAATAACATATTTCTCGACGAAAATTAATAATTTCCGTCACAGCTGCACAAAAAACTTTTAGATAAAGTGTAATGACTCTGTACATTCGGTTTGTTGACAATAATGATACAGGTGCTCATTTTTATTCCTTTTCATTCTTCAATTTTAAATTAGAATCTGAAAAGTGCAAAGTACATAGAGAGTTAAGTTTCTTTCCACTCTCAATTATTGAAATTAAGATAAATACACACGAAAATGACTTGGTCTTTTAAAAATGATATCATTCTTATTTGATACCTTCTTAAAAAATATATTGGTTTTTAGAAAATCCAGTAAATATTTTTCTTTTAATCGTAGATCTCAAAATTCTCGAAAGAGCGTCATTGAAATAGTATGTCAAGATGTAGGACCTGACAAAGTCCTTTCTCTTTGAATTAAGTTTTATTACTATTATGAAAAAATGGCTTTTTTTTTATAACTAACACAACATTTTCCGAGAGTTTTCAAGACATTAAACTTTTCACTTTTTAAAAAGTAAGAACTTAAGTAAACTTTCTGTCATGTATTGCATCCTGGTATGCCACTTTTCTCCTTGCATATTTCCTGAAAACCTCATTGTATAGAACTACAAATCTCATAATATCTTGAAATTTGCTTGCAATTTAAATGTCTCTGATTCAATAACGTTTTTTGAGGTGAAAATGATGGTAGTTTAAATATAGTGACATGCATCCTGTTTGATTAATTGAGTTTCATGAAAGAACGTAAAAGAAATGGTAAACTAATTATATAAGTAGCAAATTTTAATAACCCGTATTTTTCTTAAATATATTATTCAACTGAATATAAACATAAACATTATAATTTCTCATTTTATTTACTCTAGAGATTATTCATTAAACATAAAGGGAATATATTAGCAGAAGCAAGAATTTTCAAAGGAATAGAAAGATATAATCAAGGACAGACACATAATAATATATCGATAGCAATACGATAATAAAAAAAAAGTACTAGATTTAGCAGAAAACTCTCAAAGGAAATAAATAGGAAAACAATTATAAGTTTGATTGCAACAAATGTATCTCATTGAATTCACCATTTGAAAAAATACTACTAGTGAATATGCTTTGTATGTATTGCACGATAAAATATATATCGTCGTTCTCTTACTTTTCAATTATGATCTTTACTATTTATTAATCGATCGTTTCAATGATAAAAAATACCGATGCAACACACAAATAGATCCATTCTGATTGCTCAACAAGTCATATTTTAAGACTTGTTAGATGCACAATCAATTTTTTTCTTTCATTTAGCTATTCAGTGGACTTTAAAACTCTTAACATAGTTTTTAAAAATGATCTTCAAAATACTCTTAATCAAAATTTCTATTTCTATTCCGATTAGTGAGATTATGTATAATTAGATGAATTCTAATAAACATGTTATCATTATGTTGATGGAATGAGTTTTTTTTTTGTCTATTAATAGAAGTTATCTTTTTCGAGATAGTATAAGTGACTGATATAAATTTATTTTTTATTTGGCAAGTATATTCAAAAAAAAAATTTCGAATCCGACAAGAAAACAAAAAAGTTGATAAATTAAATTGTTTATCTGTTTTAACTTTATGTTCGCAGTTTTACAACGACAACAATAGTAACAATAATAGCTACAATAATAAGAAATGGTATCCAAGAACGAAGAAAACCACCAAAACTATTTAAAAAGAAAAAAATGAAAAATAAATAAATATTTATATTTAAATACCTGACGAATTTTCCACAGAAGAACATCCAACATGCAAGTGAAATCATATTATATGTATGTTTTCGATCATAACTCATTGTATTTAATGCCAATGCTACATGTGAATGACAATTATCACAACATAAATTATGCTAAACCAAAAAACAAAAATATTCACCAAAGAAAAAGAAATCTAATAAATTACCATGCGTTTTTTATATTCATCAGATGCTTGTTCAACAGCTTTATCCCAAATAGTTCGTACATTACTTGTATTAGTAGTTGTTGAAACACGATTTAAATCAAGTTGAAGATATCGTGTTGGTAAACCAAAAGCCATATCATCTTCCTGTATATATTTAATTCATTATATAAATATTAAAAAACAAAAAACATAAACAAGTTTTATTACTGCTACTAACTGAAACATAATAAGGTCCAGCAAAATCTCGAATGACACCATCTGTACGAGCTATACCCATATGACCAACAATTGGAAAAAGCCAAGATAGAATTGGTATTGGTGTCCAAACAATACAATGAGGATATCGAACACGAGCAACATCAATTCGATCATTTAAATTATTCGATAAAAAACCATTATCAACCATTTGAATTTGTTTTGATTTTAAAGAATCTTCAATAGGTATTACAGTTGTCGTTGTTTTATTTTGTTCACCAGGTACTATGCTCATCGACAATATTATAGAGAAAAAGAAAAAGTTTTTCTTCTACAAACTAAGAGAAAGCTTTTATTTGAGAATTTTACATATCTGATTATGTCTTGTCATACAATTCAATTTATAGACTCATGTAACACTCCATTCAATTTATCTCAGTCAATGCGTCATAGATTAGTAAATAAAAAGATGTCGCTGATAAGCAGTTCAGCATTATAAAAAAAATGATCCCATGTCGTCAAAATTAGTTCAGTTTTGAATATATATTACGATCATCGAACAAACTAGCAATTAATCAATACTTTTTCAACATGAAACCAAAACTTACAACTAGATTCGATCGATCGTAAATGTGACTATGAAAAATCTGAGTTTTCAATAGCAATCAGAAAAAAATGCTTCATTAATTTCAACACATGTGATTCAAACTAACGTTCACTACCTGTTACTATTGATTTACTATGGTGATACCTTGACTTTTTTTTTCAATTGCTTCATAGTCTATCAATACATAATAGCTTCTAGAGATTCATTAACACTATCGTTAAATTTTTGACTTTTCCGTATTTTACATAAAAAATTTGTTCGAAAAACAAAACTCGCTCATTAGCACTTTTTACGATGCTTTTTCTACCAAGTAATAGATGTTTGTGAAATAGAATCATGAGAAAATAGGCCTTATAATAATAATAAAAAATCACTAATGATACTCATCAGTATCGCATCAACAATATTGTATATTTTCGAATATATAAAGAAAAAATTGATTTTGATTATATTCTGAATCAATAATATACTTGATTATGATAATATGATAGTTCTTAGTTCTCTAAGAGATTTTGAAGTTATTTAAAAAGAAAATATTCAGATCAATGTTCTATTAATAAAAAATTAAATTTCTTTTTTAAGTTTATTGAGATATTGCTGTCGTTTTTCCACTTCGGGATGTGAAGATCCATATGCATCAACTGCAATACTAACAGCTTTCTCAGCATGTTGAATAGCTTCTTCATATCGATGAAGATCTTCTAATGCTATCGCCAATTTTCCATGAGTAACAACTAACGATGAATGATTAGATGGTAAAGATTTTTGTTGAATTTCAAGTGTTTTGTGATAGAATGATAATGCAGTTGAACAATCACCCATTTTTCGATGTATTAAACCAATATTACTATAAGTACTTGCTAATGATGGATGATGAGGTGGTAGATGAGAAAGTTTGATTTCTAATGCTTGTTCATAACTTTTGAGTGCTTCAGCATATTTACCTTGGTCATCAAGTACAGAACCAATATTATTGTGATCAATAGCAATTTCTAATTGATTAGGTTTTCGAGCAGCCAGATCGATCTTAAGAACAAGTTCATAGAATTTCAATGCTCTATTCAAATCACCTAGTTTTTTAAGAATTCCACCAATATTCGAATATGTACTAGAGAATCGAGGATCAATATCCGACATATAAGTTCGACTAATGTTAATAGATTCTTCATAATGATAAAATGCTTTTTCTAATTCACCTTTTTGTTTCCGAATATATCCTAATTGATTATGAAGAAAGGCCGTTTCTGCTTTATCATTAGGATCAACAGTTTTGAGTAATATTTCATAAATCTCTAAAGCTTTATCAAATTGACCCATCTTCATCATTAATTGACCTAGTCGACGTGTTCCACTTCCATCACCGAGTGAAATTCTCAAATGATCAGTAAGACGTTTAAGTAATGGATCTTTATCATTTGTCAACGTCAATTTAACTTTCCATAGACGTTCATCATACTTTTCGATGTCACCAATTCGAAAGACTGTACACATCGAGAAAAGACATTCTTTTTCGTGGGGAAAAGCACTTAGATGATCCACTGAAGCAAAAGGTATTGATGAGATGGATGGATCAATTTTCATTTCATACAAAATTCTTGTTGTATTGGTATCATATTGACTTTGACCAGCAAAGCCCACAGCAATAGATATTTCAGTGGTCGTGGAAAGAAAATTATTGAACGCTATAAGATCACCTTCGGTTTTCTTCAGCTTTTCAAACGTCTCATTTGGCAAGCTTTGTCCTCGATAGACAGTGAACGAACATCGATTAACATTGAATTTCGAATGATAATATTCTATCTCCTTATGAAGATCTCGAATAAAAAATCCCATTTTTATAATGGTTTGAATATCAAGTTTTCTTAAAGCTTTGTTGAGCATCCTGTACGCGAAACCTTGTTGTGTGTACCAGGAAATTGGTGACCTTTCAGAATATTTTTGTTCGAAGTCATCAAATAGTCCTCTGTTGCCATTGTTCTCATCGCAATTAGTACTGCAAAATTTAATGAGTTCTTGAACAGAACTTTCAACATCATATTGAGTTGTCAGAAAATTCTCTTTAAGTAATTGACAATACATAAATGATGGATCAAGTTCATTCAAATTAGTAGTCGATGATACTGGAATAATACTAGTTGGCATTAAATCATTATTTAATTGACGAATTTCTTTGTTTAGTTCATTACAAAGAAGTTTCATTTGAGTAAAAACACCTTTTCCTTTTTTGTATGCTTTGATGATTTCATCAGATTGAAATTTTTGATCACAAAATATATAGATTGAATTGAGTTGAGTAAATTCTTTTTCGAGTAAAGCAATCTGTTTAATGAAACAATCAGAAATGATTAAAAAGATTTTTTCATTTTTAATTGCTTTAAGAAATTTAACACATTGATCAATATCATTCAAGGTTATAATAGTGTTAACGATAGCTCGAAGTTGATTAATTAATTCTTTGTTTTCTTCTTTCGACAAATTAAGATTAGAATCTAACCAAATAATAATATAATTCTCCATAATATTTTTTGGACATTCAATTGATGTTGTCTTAACTATTGATTGTTCTTGAGACTGAATATTGTTAATTGAAGATTTTGTTAAAGTACTTGCTTGTTTTAATGATGTAGTCGTGTTTGATTTCATATTCTTCTGTGCCATTGTATATCTATTCAAATAAATAAACGTTTTTAAATATACATTTCTTTTTTATTTTAACTTACTTTGTTTTCCTTGGGAAGTGGATGGAATGTAGTTGAAAGCAATAAAACAATTCTTTTTTCTTTACATCTATAATTAAATATTTTCTTATGAAAATGATTAAAACTCCAAGTCATTCATTTTTCGCTTTAGTTCATTTCAATATGTCTTACAGGAAAAACTAGATGCTAAACCTTTAATATTCAGATCAGTGATTCCGGTGCCTAAATTTAGCCTAGTTTCTATTTTTTGTAGGAGAAAACAGCCATAAATCATCGATCTGGGATGGTAGAAACTTTGAAGGGAAAGGGTTTGTTGACCAGATTTTTCTGGTCATAATCGGTAACAACTGACCATCGGATTCCTGCTTCGAAGTTCTTACGATTTTCCAGATGTTTCCAACTAGAAATGACTCATTTTTCTTAACCTAAGTATATTATATTCCAAAAAACTCTTTTAAGTAAATTATTCTAATTCAACTTATAATACTGTTGTAAACACATCTAGAATCAAAAATATTTATTCTTCAGATGATGCAAAAATGCGTAAAATGGTTTGAATATGTGTTCTATGAAATCAAACTATGAATTGAAATATACAAATGATAATAAGAACGGCTAATATTATCGATGAATATAAAAATTGTAGTTATAATAGTTATTTTTTATTGATTCTTTCATTGATTGTATTGATTTCATCAATTAATTGACCATATACAGTATTAAATTCATATTTTGTAAAGTCAATACAGTTTTCATCCTTAGTAATTTCTTCTAACCATCCGGTTAGATCATATTGATGATCTATTTTTACTGGAATAATTGGTCGATCTCGTTTCTTGGCATATTCAGCTTCTAATCGACATGCATATGAATTTCGATATTTAGCTGAAAAACATATAAGAATAATAGACGATTTTTCAATTGATTCTGCCATAATTTTTGGATTGGAACTATGTAAATTATCTTTATCAAATGCAATTCGATAGGCATCTGATGCTATTAAACGATTATAAATTTTAAAACAAATATCTTTATCATCTTGATGGTAACTAATCATAAGATCAAATTTTTCTGATCTTTCATGATCGACTAAATCAAAATGATGATCACCTGTAACATATTGATAAATAGCTTTTTTTTCATCGAATTTTTTTTTTATTTCTCTTTGAATTTGTTTTTTTAATTGTTCTTGTTTTGAAATAAATTTACTTTCTTCTTCTGTTTTCCAAAGAATACGATTAGCTACTATTCCTTGATCTTTATCATTTTTTTGACATAAATCTTTTACATGCTCCATTAAAGAATCAATTTCTTTTATCTGCTGCAATGCTGCATCCTGTCCAAATGAAACAGCATCAATAATTCGAAGAGCTGGACATTGAATTGTTTCAACATCTAGATTTGGTTCATATGCACATCTTGCTAACAATGGTATACCATCATCATCATTAATAATTTCGTCTTTAACCTCATCATTCTGAACAATGGCTGCAATAAAACCAAAATATTACTTACTAAGTTGTGTTCATCAATTAAAGTTAAAGTTACGTCAGATTAGAACGAAATTTTAAACAATAATCAACTTCTTTTGTGAGGAAACCTCGTCAAATGATATATTCCTCTTGAAATAAGTTTTAACTCTTTAGGTAGGACCTATTGAGACTAGAACAAGCCTAAAACTATTTGTGTCTATGGCGCTTTTTTCCTTGTCTTATAGCCGTTTTAGTTAGTTTGTTTTAAATAAATGTCATGATCTCTCTTATATCACTTTTAAAATTAACTCTCTAGTTCAAGTCTTGTACAACTCAAGTTTTCCATGGAACCAACAGTATATCCAAGTTTTTTATGAGATGAAACGATCACGATCATAAAATGTGTTTTCAAGTTTATTTTAAAGCTTTTCCTGCTTGGAAAAACCAAAAAATCTTTTTGAATGAGGAAAACGGCAGATGTTGCTCCTAGCGTCCACTCTGAATTCAATGAGAATCCAATGGTTGAATTCAGGCATGCATCCGATAAAATCCACCATTTAATTTTAATAGACAAATTACTCCTCAAGATTCTGAGGACAGTTCTTGTAGAAGTTCATGAAACTACGTTAGACCACTCCATTGAAAACTCTTTGTTTTGCTTTTGACACTTCTGGGTACGTTGCGTGGATGGATTAGATAGAAGTCTGTGTATGAGATACAGATAAATAGTCATATCGATGTAGGTAGACGTGCCAGTTCAGTCACTCCATCATTTGAAAATAAACAAGCATGAAGTAACTACTTATTTAGATATGGGTCTTGGCATAATTGAGACTGCAGCATTTTGTGTCAAAGACTGATTAAAATGGCCATAAATTAAAAAGGAAGATGCATTGACACAAATCTTCTTAGATTTCTTTTTTCTAGTCCCCATTGCACTTACCTAAAGAAGTAAGACTTCTGATCATTCTTTTAGTTTTTCACAGAAGTATGAGTTTCTTTGTGATCTATTATATTCAATTGAATGTTTTTTGTTTGCACTTAAGAAATAATAACAATATGATTATTAACTATCACATACTGAAGTTTTTCTTGAATTAATTTAAATTGATATTTAGACAAAAGATTTTTCAATATAAGAAAAACTATACCTTCAAGATTAGTTAACACACCATCTAATTTAATTCCATGATATGTAAGTGTTACATCATCAATTGTATTTTCAATAAAATATACATAAGATCGTGCCACTTTCGATGGACTATCTATTTCATCAATATCTTCTTGATTTAAAATTGCAGCTAATGTTCGAGCTGCAAATTGTATTGTTGCATCTTGTGCTTTATATAATTTTTTACAACTATTTATAACATTTCTATCTTTTAAATCATAAAAAATTTTCTTTTCAAATGTTAAATTATACAACAAAGTTATTGAATAAGACATGAGAGCAACATCAGGATGAAATAATCCGACATTTTTATTAACATGTTCTATTAATGATTTATCTTTTAATATTTCAATCATTTGATCTACTACCGTTCTAGTGGTATCAAATTCTGAAACGAAAACAAGATATAAATAAAGACTATAAATTAATGCGCCTCTTATGAAAACATCTATTTAAATTTTTCAATTACGATCTAGTGACAGTATAATATATCTTCCTCTTTTTTAAAAGTACTTGCGAAAAACTGTACGTCAGGTTTTTAGAAATGAGTAATTGTTAGCCTTGAAGTTGATTTTGGGTAATTCAGTCGATTTTTTTTTTATATAGAAAAGATACATTTAAAAACCTGAACAAATCTAATAAGTTCAAAGAAAAAAGACTTTGGTAGATATCTTATGAATCATTAATTGAAATATATTTGAACTTACTTCTAATAAAATATTCTCTTGTTGTCGGTGTTAAAGCAATATGATTTAATAATTCGATATACCAAGCAATTGATTGATTAAATGCAAATTCATAATCTAAAGCATTTGATGCATCTTTCTTTTTTGTTGTTTTATTTTTGTGATTACGGTGATGATTAGATTCTTGCAATGCAACATTAAGACTTGATGAATATTTTTCAAAAATTTCGACATGATATTTTATTATTAATTTAGATAATGAACTAGATATATCATCTTGTCGTTTGTAACTACATAGACGAATAAATTTTGGACATGTATACATAAAAAATAATTGTTGTGGACTTAATACTGATTGACGAAGATCAACAATTTTATATAAATTTGTGTAAATTTTTGATTCTAAACATTTCATAACAGAATCAAGAATTAATGTTGTATTAATATCGTTTAATTTTATAAAAACACGAAGTAAACGATCCATAATTTTATATTTAAAATGATATGAATGATAATTATTAATAGCTATATCATTTTCTAAAATTTTTGCAAATTTTTTAATAGATGTTCTTGTAAAAAATATTTTTTCATACGATAATAAATCAAATTCATTTCTATTTTTCGAATTTAATTTTTCATTATTATCAATATAAAAATTTGTTAATATTTTATTTTTATATAAACATAAATTACTTATTAATAAACTGATTCCATCTATGCATTCTTCATCTTCTTTTGTTATAGAAATAAATGTTAATTTAGTTAATAACATTTGAAATGTTCTACTAATTATAATAAAAAATTTATGATTCATTATTTCGGGATCATTAAAAAAACTTAGACTAGTAAATCCAGCCATATCATAACAAACTACAGATAAAATATGAAAACCATCAGTTTGATTATGTATTGTATTATTTAAAAATAAGATAATTTCATTGAATAATTCTTTTACATATCTTGTTGGTTCAGCTTTACGAAGTTGATGAATTACAGATTGATGATGTTGAAGTAATAATTCCATTTGAAGAAAAATATAAATTTAATCTTTTTTTTTTATCTAAAAAGTGAAATATAGATGATAAAAAATATTATTTTTAAAGAACAAATGAATCAAGTATTGAGAAGACACTACTTTTCAAGGGTTTCCGATCAGAGATGGACAAAGTCGCACCGCGCCTCCCCGCGCTTCTCCGCGACTCCCCGCGCTTCTCCGCGCCTCCCCGCGCCTCCCCGCGCTTCTCCGCGCCTCCCCGCGCTTCTCCGCGCCGTTGCTCACGCCTACGCTACACTAGTCTGAGCTTCGATGAGCGCATGCTTAGAGCATCCCGGTATTCGGTGGAGTTTGAGAAACTGATTGGTAGAGCAAAGAGAAAGAGAGATGTGCGTAGCGCCTAGGCGCGAGCAGTGGCGCGGGGAGGCGCGATGCGATTTTGTCCATCTCTGTCTTGAATAACTGAATAGGTTTTTTTTTGTAAAACAAAAATTAGTTTGATAAATTGTTTATTTATTTACTAATGTCTTGTAAAAGATTTTGTATCTTTTTGAGATAAAAAATCAATGTCTCTTTTTTTTTTTGTTTACTTGACTTTTATCTTTAATATTCATCCTTGTTTATTTGTTTGTGCTGCACAAAATTCTTGCCATTTAATCGTATTTAATAGTTTCGTTTGAATAAATCTTTTTCGCCATGAAGAAAATTGTTTGTTTTTCCAAATTTCATTATTTGGATCATCTAATGCATTAAGTTCTTTTATTTCTTTTTTTGTTTTGAGTTCTGCTCCGATTTTTCCTTGTATATCGTTTGATGTCATATCAATTTTCCCTTCTTTAATATCTGATATTAATGGCAATATTCGTTCTAGAAAACGATTCCAACCAGCTTCGTTTATATGTGATTCTTTTGATTTTTCTCCAGCAAGTCTTCTTTCATATTCTCGTATAAGTTCTCTGTCTTCAATAATATCCCAAGCACTCGTACCCTTTTTAATAGTTGTATTAAAACGTGTATGACGTGAAGAATTAACGTTTGTTGTATTTGTACTTGTTTGATCTTGTTCAGTCTCTTTTAAATGTACTTGTTTATATTCTTGAAATTGAAGATCTTTATTGATAACATTTTTATAATAATTATGCGCATCATCATAATTGCACCATGAACCCATAGTTGATTGTGAATGAAGCTCAGTCAGCGAATAATCTAAATCTTTTAAGTTCATATTTTCTTTCCACCATGGAACTTTGTTTGTCAAAGGCATTCGAAATATAGCATCATTGAAATCACCAGTTAAAGTAAATGGTGGTAAATTACCTTTGATGATAGGACCATTGGATGCTTTTTCTAACCAACGTTGTACACTTGATAGAAAAGTCTTTAAATGATTTGGCATATGAATTATCTCAGCTGAAAAAACAAGATTAAAAGGACATCGTTTACATTGATTTCTTTTGATTTTAATCTACGAGGTTGTCGATGAAGATAGAAAACTAACTCACGCACATTCGCTATCGAAGTTATTACGGTTTTTTTTCTGTGGTATTATTTGGAAATATTGGTCAATAGAATTAAAGTATGTGAATTATTCTAATCTAGTTTATGGTTTGATTAAACTTTTGAATTATATTTAATAGTACTGACCTTCATCATGTTTGTTCTGATAAATTTCTTCATTTTCAGAAAGTTGAGCTTCTTGTTCCTCCTCGTCGTTGTTTTTATGAGCTTGCTCTCCTTCTTCTTCTTCTTCTTCGACTTGACTTTTATCTTGAATAGATTCTTCTGATTCTTGTTCTTCTATTGATGTCGAACATTGTTCGTTTTCATAATCTTCAAGAACTTTTTTTAAAGAATTAACTAACTCAGTTAATTCATCTTCTGGAATTTTATTTTTTTCTAAAATTTGTTCAATTTGTTCCTCATAAATTTGTTCTTTTTCTCGAATTTGTTCTGATGTAAATCGTGAGAACATATTTGGTCGATCAAAAGTTTCTTCTTTTTGTTCTTCTTTATTTAGAATAGTATTAGACCTTAAATAAGTTCGACCAACTGCACCAGGTTTCGTATAATGTAGCTAAGATCATAAAAAAATTTGATTAGTTTATCATAGTACATACGATGAGAAGGAAATTCACATAGAAACAAACTCTAATGATTGTTAGACAAGGCAAGAGCAATAACTTACAATGTAGAAAAACTTTCATAATTTTCTGATCCACATGACTTAGATTCTTGGTCTAAAAAAATAACCCAAGTAATCCTTCGCATTTCCTCTCTAAAGAATAGTTTCAATGAACATAAAATCATTACTCAAAAATAATTTTGGCGAAAAGTTTGTTAGCTAAAAAAAACTAACTTATAAAAACTTATGAAGTTTTATCATTATACTTGAAATCAGCATGAACAATAATCTACAATAATTTAATTAAGTACTTCTTTTACAAGGTACATATTATAATACAAAGTAGATTAGTTCAAAGACGGAAGTTCTTTCTTTCGTACGACAAAAAAGAGATGCTTACTAATTCTATTAATAATTTATCATAATTTAAATTTAAATCTTCATTTAACTTGAATTTGATTTCTTCTCTAAATGAATCATAATATAATTCTTCTGTATTTATTATTTGAAGCCAATCATCATCGTAATTTAATGAACTTCTTGTTAACATAATTGGTATATATTTCTTTCTAGACGATATTATACTATTTAATGATGTCAAGCAATTAACATTTTGAGAATAATTAAAACTAAAACAGATAATAATTAAATCTGTTTTGTCAAATTTTGATTCAATATTTGAAGATATCTTATCAGAGTAATCAATTGATAGGAGATAACCTTCTTCAATCAATCGATTAGCAAGATGACGTGACAAAATTTTATCATCCGAACAACAATTTAATATAATATTGAAAGATTCAGAAGTATTGTTTAATATTTGAGTTGAAGATATTGACAATTGTTCATCAGATTTTGATATATTAGTATAAGGTAATATTCTTTGTTGTTCAATTTCTGACATTAATTCATATTTTTGTTTTGCTTGATTAACACATGAAATTGAACCAATTAAATTTAAACATTGTTTTTGAGTAGTTTGTTTATCAATTTGATAAATTCTTGGTAAAACATTATTTTCAAGACAATATTTATAATATACATTAATCATATGTTGATTCCATATCTTAGAATCGAATGGATGATTATTTAATTCAATTGTTGTCAGAACATATTTTTTCATATAATCATTGATGAAATTTTCACATTTAGAAATATTTATATTTCCTGATGCTTTTAATGTTATTGAAATCGCTAGAATAGATAAGAAAAGTTATTAAAAAACAATTTTCGAATTAAAAAAATGACTCTTCGTTTAATTCAATGAAATATACTGAATTCTACTGTGTGATTAGTATGAAACAAAGTTGAATTTAAGATAGTTGTCCTTGTTTTTCATAATAACTATAATATATAATGATTGTCATCTTTTATCATGGGTATGAATCACTAGTAAATAGAAGCTCATAAAACAAAACCTATTTCGGTTAGAATCTTCTTTTACAATGTCATCAGTTCCATTGTGTTTCACATTTCAATCCAACCGGGATTGCGCACCGAAAGCTTTTGATTTGTTTCAGAAAGACGATACTTAATAAAAGAAAAAAAAAAATCTTTCTATAATTGAAAACTTCTGATTTTAAACTTTCAAAGGTCTAGTATAAAATAGGGCTGTGCCGCTCACGCTCATGAGCGCTCATATGAGCGTGAGCGTTTTTTCGCCGACGCTCATGCTCACGTGAGGGGTGGTCGCTCACGTTCATATGAGCGCACATGAGCGTGAGCGGTACAGCCCTACTCATATGAGCGTGAGCGACCATCCCTCACCTGAGCATGAGCGTGAGCGGTACAGCCCTAGTATAAAATAGTACATGTATTAGAATAAAAACTAATTTTAACATCACATAAAATCGAAGGATTATGTTTTGTTTTAATGCTAATACTAACATAGGATACATATTTATGAACTTTGACGAACCTAGACATTCATCGTGATCTTAAGTAATTCTCGTCATCTGTTATATTCTCTTTATTTGGATTTCTTGAGTATAGAATAAAATATGAATATATTCTTTATTTCAATCATGACATACTTGATATTGGATAAAAGAATTGTTCATAACCATCTCTATCTGTTTGTAATGTTGAAATAATTTGTGAAAATTCATTAAAAAAATCATTTTGTTCATCATTAAAAAGAAATACAATATTCCATGAGCGATCAGAATAATATTTAGATCCGAGTTGATTTATCATTTCATTAAGAATATCTTCTGCTAATTGTTTTCTATTATAATAATTTTCCCAATCTGTTGTTGCAAATGCAATAGTTTTAACAACATTTGTACAAAGTATATCTATTTGTTTAATTGATGTAGAAATAAATTTTTTTATTGATTCATTTATTTGATTGTTATTTTCTTGTGAAAGATATGGTGACCATTCAATAAATAAAACTCTTTTACCATAATCAGATTCAAAATAACCATTTCCATATTTTGGATCAATATTTTCTTTAATAGCATCTACTATTGTTGATATAATAGTAATATCAACCTAGAAAAAAAATTAAAATAATTATTAAATACATAGAAATATTTATTTATTTAACTAACTTGTAAATCATATGATTTATGTATTTCTATTGTATTATTTGATATAGAAAGTTTTCTCCACATTGATAATGTCGAATAAAATTGATTTGATTGATTAGTAATATATTTTGATGTTGATACATTTTTACCTTTAGGTAAGATGATAAGATCTTTTTTTGTTTCTATATCAATTTTATTAATTTCACAATGATAATTTTGAGCAAGAGTTTTTAATTTTAAATGATCTTTTTCTGTTAATATAAATGCATTTTTAATATATTGAAAGATAAGTATACTTGTTTGAAAAATCATTGATTGAATTAATTGTTTTATTTTTTTAATTAAATATTGTGGTGCAATAATTATATTTTCATGAATTTGAATTTTAACATTATCATCATTATAATCGATTTCTAAATTTTTTATTTCATGAACATAATTATCTAATAGAAATTCACGCTAAAACAAAAAAGTAAAATAAATGATTAATTATAATTTATTGATTCATGAAATTTTATAAACATTATTGAAGCATTTCTTGAAAGAAATTTGAAATTTTCTAAAAGATTTTTTCAATGACTTTTGACTGAAATTTTACGCAAATTTATATATTAAATCCAATGTTATGAACAATGAATATGTTTTATAGAATACATTATCTTAGAAATGAGTGAGTACACTTGAAATATAAATCTGATTTCTGTAACATTGAAATATAGATGAAAGAAATTTGAAAATCAACTAGCTAATATATTTATACTTGTGTCAAATCAAGTCCGATTGATATTTTTCTCATTCGATGCTTGTTAATCAATAGTTTGATTTGTTTTTTAGCAATATCAACTTGATTTCTTAATCCAAAAAAACTAATTTTCATTTCTGTTTGAAAAGAATATTGACAATAAATAATCGCCATTGTTTGATATTGTAATTGTTGTTCTTTTTTATTATTAATAAATTCATCTAATTCTTTTCGAAATTTCAATTGAATATTTTCGACATTCTCTATAATAATATCTTTAACATAAGATATCTCATTATTGAGTGTATGATTAATAAATTCTTCTGAAACACTAAATGTATGTTGTCCACTAATATAATAAACTATATAATAACCTGATAATATATTCGTTTTTTCCCAAAGTATTAATTTGTTCTTATCGAAAAAGATTTTTTGTAAAATATTGAGAATAGAATCGGAATAGATATATTTTGACCAACGAATAACTAAAAACATATGAAATTGTTTTTTTTTTTTTTGTATTCAATACAAATGAGAAATATAAAAAGTTAATTCTTTACTCTTTTTATCTGTATTTTCATCATTGAAAATTTTCATTTTAATTGTTGTAAGTAATGAATGAATATCATTACGAACATTTTTAACATTTTCTTTAACACCCGATAATTTTATATGTAATGCATCTTTTGTATCATATTGATTTTGTATTGGTATATGACATGTAACATTATATTTTTTAAGAAAATATTTTGTTAAATTTGAACAAATGAATTCATTTGTGAAAAATTTCATACCAATACTCTTTGGTTCAATAGTATAGGTTTTTGAATATGTTCCTATATCATTGATTGTATGAGATTTAATTTTTGAAGTTGTAATTGATATACTAAACAAAAAAAAATAGTCAACATTTTTCAATGAATAACTCAATTTTTATGTTTTGATTTACTTCTTTACATGATTATTTATATTTATATCAAGTTCTTTATTTACTGATGAACTAAATTAAAAAAAAACTTTTTTATAATAAGAAATGATGAATATATACTTACCTGCTTCGTCTACGTTGTTTTCTCTCTTGTCTTACTAATTTTCTATATTCTTCTAATATTGTCCTAAATTTACGTTGTGTTCTCATTGTAGGATTTCTTATTGTTCCATCTTCATCTCTTGAAGATAATACTTTTAAAATGTCATCATCTTGTAAACCGAACAAAGCTATTCCATCAATATCTTCATCTAATGTAAATGTATGTATCAAAAGGAAATCACAATAAACAATCAATATGAACATTTCTTACTTTTGAATATTTCTACATATTTCTCGAAACTATTAGCTTTTAACCAGTCTCCAACTTGATCTACTGTCCAAATAGCCATTGATGTGTCTAAATATTTTATGCTTGAAAATTAAACAATTCAACAACCAAAGGAGTACTTAAATCATAGCAACATTCGCATAATGTTTTGTCATAGGCCGCAGTAGTTAGTACTCTTCGGTATGAATCAATTACTCGGGCTGTCATGATGGTTGAGTAGCTGCATAGCTCAACATGTGTCCACAATATACTATGATTAAACCTTGGTACCAGCAACAATGAAATGGCTCTGGACAGGTCACTAGTGACTGTTTGTCTCCAATCACTCATCTGATAGCATGTTGATTACACTGTGACATACACTTTCTTTTGTAGCTAGTAAGTATTTAGTATGTACGAGGACCTCAAGCAACTAAACGCAAGAATTCTGTACCAGATTGGTCTTCTAACAACGTAATCGAATGATAGGATTATTCTGCTTTTCCTCAATTATTGACACATTCAACATCATAGATCTAATCTAAATCGTTTTGTTTCGTTATTATATGCATTAAGATACTTCTATGTATCTACTTTTTATTATTATTAACTAATTTTGTATTTTATAAATTATGTACAAGTCACTGAGAAAATTTTAAGATTCATTTCTCAACAGCTGAATATCAGATAGGTGTTAACTTTTTTTTTTTTTATTTGAAAGAGAAAAGTCTGAAAAAACGGCTTTGCTACTTGATTAGTCCATATTTTCAGTTACAGGCTTCACCATTTCGCTGGTCTCAAACTTTAAGTTGAATATTATCCACGAATAGAGTTTTTCAATAATGTCGTGACGACATTGAAATGTTGCCAATTGCCAAATCAATCATTTTGAGTATCGCAATAGTTTTTAAGGATCACTAGGAAAAGATACTCGGACACAGTAGATAGACAGTTTCTTTTTTTTTGTATATATTTTGTCCAAACTTCCCTCTTTCAAACAACAAAAAGAAGTTGAAGTCAATTATATGTCATATTATTGAGAAATAATTCAATTATCACAACTATTATTTTCTCTTTTCAGTTCTTAAATCGATGAAGGAAATAATTCTATTAATTTAACATTGATAAATTTCGACGTATATATGATGATTGATTTATTTCATTAAAATCTACCTCAAATCATAATTTTATTTTTAACTTAAGGGTCATGTCATGTTACACAAAATACGATCTCGACAGAACATAGTCTCTAGTAAAGATATTTTTGTGAAGAATGAAATCGTAATAGGAATGTCTGCAAGCCTCACGGACACGCGAGAGCATGAATAGAAAATTGGAATCGAGGAATGTTGTTTCTGCAGGACACACTATCAATTATTCGTATTTGAGACGTAATGCTTTTGGCAGTATTTCATCTGATAATAAGAACTGAAAGACGAAGCATTCTTTATTTACTACTTTCTCAAATATTTTCTATCATTAGTATGGTTTATTTAAGTCGAACAATAGAAAGTAGCAAAAAAAAAATGCGTCAGCGAATATAAAAAAACGAACAGTTATTATTGAATATATGTTGAGTTCATTATCACAATTATTTTTGATATTTCGATGTCTTTTATAATATTGCTTCTAAAATTTTGCATGTTTTTGCATTTGATTTTCATAATCATAGAGACATACCTTGAAACTATTCTCAATCAATCCAATAATGCTATTTCCTTTTTTTTTTATCAGCAGCGAAATGAAAGACAAAACAAGATTTATCAGCAATGAATACATCTATGATTCGAAATATTATTGACAAAAGATGTACATTGTTATACACAGTTTCTATCTTAATAATTATTAATAAAAAAAAACTGAAAACTTACCAATTCTATATGATACTTATTATTCACCCTATTTTGACAAATAAAATGGAAAAAAATGAATAATGTTGTAAAGATTTTTTTTTCTCTTTTTTTTCCTATCAACTTGAATTTTTTCTTTTGGTTGAGAAAATGGCATTAGACAGTCAATAAATATAAGAAAAAAAAAATAAGAACGAAAATTGAATGTTACTTCAAAAATTCATTCCTTATCTGAAATCATTGAAGAAAAGTAACAAACGACACAGACTGATTAAGTAAGTTGAACATTCCTAAGAAATACAATAACCTAAATATAGTATCAAATATCATTCAGATCTTTAGAAATTTATGAAAGTACTATCAGTTTAAAAAAAAACTTATTATATCAGAGAATATTAGCAGTTGAATAAACAAGAAACTTTTATGTTACATCTAAAAGATAAGTAAAAAACAAGATATTACAAAAAGAATCATTATAAGAACTTCTATGAATCAGTCACAAACAAAAAAAGATTTATATTATAATGCATATTTTGAAATACTTAATGAAACCTTACAAGATATTTGAAATAATACTGTGCACAGACAAAAAAAATTCTATTCATACTCTCTAAACTAAATTGATGATTTTCTGACAAAAAAAATAAGTAAACTGTAAATGTTATTTAGTTAAACAATTTTCGAAGGAGAAAAATATTTAAAAATTTGTCAAAAAGAAAGATTAAAATAAAAGAACATATCGGTTAGTGATAATTATTTAAAATGAAAAATAAAACTCGAAAGTAAAACAAATCAACTTTGTCAAGTTTAGGTTCGTTTCAGTTTGTTTTTGATAGTGAGATTTTATTTCCCAATATCTCATTGATGTTCATTAAATATTGAATTATTATTATTGAAAAGGTTTGAGATGTCTAAAATATAATAAGTTTTTTAGACTTATCGAACTGAAACAGAGTTTTCTTCATCGAAAAACTGAATGTTGAGAGTAAACTTAGAATACCACTTATGAGAGAACTGCCCAACTGATATTCGTTGTTTCAGCTTATATTGCACCTATTACGACATCTTGATTAGACTAACAAAAATCTAAGTGTTTGTCCTTGCGGACTTTTGGACATAAGAATATCAATATTCTTAGATATCGCGCTCTTCTTAGAGCTTTCAATGATCGAAAAGTTTCAACTAATGTTGTGTTTTCTATTTAATGTTGTAGTTAATGGCGAATTGGACAATCAAGAACGTTGCTGAGTGGTTGATAGCAAATGGTTTTAAAAGACAGGTTAAAATATTTAAAGGTAATTTTTTTCTATAGAAAGTAATAAATCTAAATCTTTTTTTTATTGATTTATTAGATAGAAAGATAGATGGTAATGCTCTAATAAAATTAAAAGATGATGATATTATGCAACTACTTTCGGAAGTTAATGAAGATGGAATGATACAAGAACCAACAATTGGAATAAAAAGTAGATTTAGAACAATGTTAATAGAATGGAAGAGGGAAAATGAACACAAAAATCAAAACAATCAAAATGAGTAAGGAAATTTCTATTAGACTTATTTTCTATTATAAAAGTTTTATTTTTTTTTTGAGAAATACTAATGGTTCATCTAATGTAACTGATTTAAATGAGGTAAATATTGAGCTTGCTTAATAAATATATTATAATTCGAAGTTGATTTCAATTAGAAATTACTTTCGATATGTACTCTTCACTTTTTTCAACTTCTGATATGTTTTTACAAATTATTACAGATTGAAGAAAAAAATCTAGTAGAAATTGACAGTTCATTTTAAAAATCTTCTTAGAGGTATACTTTACTTATAGTAGAAGTTTCATATAATGGAGTTGTGACCAAAGAAGAGAAACATGAAAGTGGAATGTTTATTAATGTTATTCTAAACAGACATCCTAAAATTCTGGAAGAAGTTTCATAATAGATAATTGTTGTTTTCTTTGTGTGGAGAAACATGTTAAATTTTCTGTGCTCGTATTTTGAACTCAACTTTGTTTTTTTTAAAATTAATAAAAGCTTTTCTAAAAAATACATGACCATTATTTTGAGAGTTTTTCGAGGTTTTAATCTTGCTATTCTTTTTATTCGTATAAAAAATAAGAACTCAGAATACTGCTCTTATTTCTGGGGATTTCTGAAGAACGATTCATTAGAAAAATTTGAAACATTCAAGGCAGATAGATCTTGATGAATAGAGCAAAATTGGTTATTCTAAAACATGTCTTGTGTGAAATACTATAATTACAATGGCGAAAAATAGATTCAATGTTCGTCTCTGTTTCTTCGAGATGTTATGTTTGATCGAACTTAAAACATTTTTATTAGCACTAGACACTTCGGGATGGGTATCTTTTTATTGTTTTTTGAATAGGTTTTTTTGTAAAAACTACCAAACATCATAAGAATCATATTTTTGAAACAAAAATTAACCATTCCAAACAGTGTATATTATATCTGAAAAAACTTCCCGCTCAATCGGACGCACTAGACCGATGATACAGGAACTTAAAACGATATTTGAATCTCAAAATATACTCAGCTATTACTTCCGACTTCACATTGATCTTAGAAAAAAACAAAATTCTTCAGTCATGAAAGAAGAGGACGGTCGATACCCTTAGTCCGAAAATATGCAGAATCTTAAGCTTCATCGATTGATCTAAGTTTAAAATTAAACATCGTTCAAAATGTCTTTTCTCACTAGCATTTATAGATTCTACTATATTATTTTCTTCATATTGTTTTTCAGGTTAAACATCAAGAAGAAATTGTTTCTAAAAAAACTAAAAAGAAAAATTCTGATAAAATTCTATGTGAAGTTAATTATTTAGTTGATGATGATATTCATATACAATTTTTTCGAAATCCAAAATTTCTACCATATTTAATTAATTATATAAAACAAGAAACATATGCAATTGATATTGATATTCAACAAGTGTATTCAGAAGATGATAAATTATTCCTTTATTATGTTATTAAATTAATAGGAAAAAAACAACAAAATCGTATTGTTCGAAATTTTATTAAAAATTTATTTAAATCAATAAAATTAAAAAATTATCATCAAAATCAAATAAAAAAATGGTTATTTAATTTAACATTAATTGATATTATTCAAAATATATTTGATAATGAAAATCATTTATTTACTGTATGTCAATTTAGTAGATTAAATAATAAAATTTTAGAAATTTATTATTTTGACGATGAAAAATTTAATTCTTTTCAAAATCTTATTGAAATTGATAATATTATTCAAAATCAAATTTTACAAGAAAATATACTTTTATCATCAAACAAATATTTACAAACTATTGAATTTATAGATATAAATACACAAAAAATTTTATTAAAATATGATGTTAATCCAACAGAAAAATATGAAGAAGAATTTAATAAATATATAAATCAATATGAACAAGATCATATGTTAATTTCTATTACTCGAAATCCATATTATATTAATAGAAATAAAACAAAAGATATTATTAAAATATTTGGATATCAAAAATTTGTTAATGAAGTTTTTCAAAAATTCAAAAATTTATTTGATAAATATCGATTGAGAAAATATAAATTTAGTCAAATGTCATCTGATCAAGTATGTCTTTCGAAATCAATTTATTTTATCTTTTATATAATCAGAGAGGTTTCGAAATATGCGAAATCGAAAAATTGAAGTGTATTAGAATCATCTCTTTCAATATTTTTTCTTTCGGTCATTTTACGGCAAACCTTTTCTTATATTTATGCATGACGATATTTTGAATACATAAATCTGCTCAATGACACTAGCTCTCGATGACTTTGACTTAATTTCGAGTTAAATTGACAATACCTTTCATTCCAGTGACTCTAACGGTGCGGAATAAGTTATTATTCAACTTGATAGTGCTCTAACTTCAATTCAACGAACAATACACAATTCATTATTACATAGAGGAATATGACTGACTTCATAACAAGTTAATTTAATCGTAGTTCATAATAGTCATTGAGCATATTATTATAATAACTACTTGATAAAGTTTTAAAAAAACTGAATCTTGTTGTAATTTGAACATTTTGATTCCATTTTTTTTTCTTGAAATATTTCTTTTAAAATTTTCAATTGTTTTATTCAGCTTGAGTATCTTGCAAACTTTTGTTCCGAAGAATTGCATAATATTGAAAGAGAATTTCCAAATGATTATATAAAATTACATGTTCGACAAAATCAATTTTATGCACCAGAATATTTAAAAAATGAAATTCAAAATTCTATAATAAATTTATTATCTAATTTACAAATGATTACTTTCAAAAGTAAAGAATTATATTATGATATCGCTGATAAATTATGTTCAAATATAAAAAATATTGCTCAACAAAACCGTTGTTATTGTGAATTAAAACTTAAAAAAAAATTAAAATCCTATCAAATTCCGAAATCTAATCAAAATACATCGATTATTTCGAAATCATTTATTGAACAATCAAATTTATTTTGTTCATCACCATTTGTTTATTGTCAAACAAAATTAACTAATGGAACAATTGAAGTTCTTATGGGTGATATCGCTTTACAAAAAGTTAGTTTTCAATTTATTGAGATTCTAATATTCATCATAATTCTAGGTCGATATTATTATTATTCCGTCAACATCATTTGGATTAAAAGAAAGTTTAATCGAACGCGCTGGTGAAATCATTGAACAACAACCATCAAGTCAAGAAGAAAATGAAACAAGTTCAATCTCATTTATTACTGAAACAACAAGTGGAAAATTAAATTGTAAAAAAATTCTATTTATAAATTGGTCATTACCAACAATGATAACAAATGATGATCATTTAAGTGATTCGATTCGTTTATTTATTTCGAAATCGATTCAGTATGTTATCATGGATAGTCAACAAGCAAATTTAAAAATTCAATCTATTGCATTTGCAGTTCCTGATTCATGTAAACAGGAACAAATATTAGCAGAAGAAATGATTGAAGAAACAATGAATCAAATTAATATGACAAAATCTATATCATTAAAAGTATCATTTGTTTTATTACCAGATCAACAAACATTACATCAACAATTTTTAAATGTTATTCAAACAATACAAACAATAAAAGATAGTTTTGGAATTTTCTATTGCTCAGCATCAAGTAAGATTTCACTAAATCGTTATATAGATTATAAAAAAAGAAAGTTATAAGTTCTATATAAGTCATTTTAACTTTGATTTATCATTGGAATTATGATTTTAGAAAGGTTTTATAAAGTGAATCTATTAGATTTACATTTTTTTTTTCGCTGAATATACTATGAGTATTATTCTTAGCTTAAAACTTAGTTCTTATATTATCAGCAATAAACACAATTGAACGAGTTACAACAAAGATTCAGGAGTTGTGGAGCTGCGATAAAGCTTTTCGATGGTGGCTAGATACCATGAGATTTGACATCTTCACTTACTTCCTAACGAGACCGTCTTCTTTCTTAAAAATACAGCGAAATCTATGAAAGAGAGCGCTTATGATTTTGATTTTTCAAAGACGCTAAATATATTTATGTTAAATTTACTTAATTTGATTTTATGCAAATGAAATAATAATTGTGACATTTGAGCAGAACGAGGAATACAGAATTTTATTTTAACTATACATAAAGTTTAACACTACGTTCGTAATGCTGAGCCCTGCAAAATACCGTTTCCTTTAAAGCAAAATCGTTTAACTTGAATGCTTGAAAGATTTGCAAAGACATAGTCATTAGGGCTCGAAATGGGCCACTATTTTCTGGCCCGGTCCGGCCCAAAGCGGTCCATCAAATTTGCTGCCCATCAGACCCAACTTGTCGTTGTTTCGGCCCGGCCCGGCCTGGCCCATCAAATTTGTCGGCCCGCCCGGCCCAGCCCAACCTAGGCCCAACAAAATTGTTTTTAGAAAATATTTTTTGCAGAACTGAATATTATAATAAACGTCGTATTTCAAAAGAAATTTCCGTAGAGTACATCAATAATTTATTGATGAATTTAATGACATTGGATCATTAATGTAATAACAAAAGAAGATATTAACGAGTATCACAAAAAACTACTAGATGTAGAACAAATGAAAAAAAAACACATTGCACATGAAAAAAAATCAACATTTATCTGAGAAAAGATTAGGGGTATTCATTAATGCTTTACATATTCCACGAATAAATGAAGTTTATCCAAGAAAAAACAACGAATAGAAAGAAGTTTTTGTTGATTACGTGTGAAAGAAACCGCAAGAAAACAAATAACAGATTACATAAACAAAAAGGTTATTAGTTTGCTGTACTATCCAATGATACTTTCATAGACATTTCCATGATATATATTTTGTAATAATTTCTGAACCTGATGACATTTATAAAATTTAATAAAAAAAATCTTGTCGTGTCGGGCCGCCCGACAATCTCTTCGGCCTGCTTGACTTGTTGGTCTTTCTCGATCGGCCCGCCAGACCCAACAAAAAGAATTCGTTGGCTCGGACCCGGCCATGTTGGGCCGGTCTGGGTCAGGCCGAGCCGCTGGGCCAGGTGGACAGTTTCGAGCCCTGATAGTCATATATCAATGCGTTTTTCTGATAAGGCTGAGTAATTTGTTAACTATTATGTAGATCTCTGATTTATAATAGAAAAAGGATGGTTTTTTTGCAATAGGCAGTCAAACACAAAAACAGATAATATCTGCACTAATGTATTATGAAGCTGTAAAATTTTCTGTTTCTGCTTGTTTTGAGAAGTAACATTTTTCTACAAGATTTTTATGGAACTCTTCAAGTCTTATACTAATTATCTGTCACTTGTATTAATTGAATGTGCATTCAAATTGAGTATATATTTTGCCATATTGACCGTTAACTTATTTATATGTTATCATTGATGCAATAGATAAATTCAGGTGAAGTATTCTATGTTTAGTTTTCGGCTACATTTGCAGGGATAAATTTAAATAAAGGAATTTAGCAATATTTCGGAACAGTCGTAGAAGTTCGCATTTTATTGAATTTCAGGATATTTGTCCTTGGTTTAGGCCTTTCTGGTTCTCAAAGAGGGTACAACCAATACACTTGAAGTTTTTATCACATATAGAGCACCTGAAATAAGGAGATCTGCGTTCGAAGAAGAAAATTGAAAATAAAGTATGAAAGCAATATTTAAAGGTTCAGGTTCAAGACCAAGGCATTCAAGTATCTGTGGTCGAAACTTCAGCCAGATCAGGCACCATTACACATGACTCGTAAGCGATCCCGATGTGATTCTACAGAAAACTTTGGTTATATCTTCTTCGAAAATTAGAAATAGCAAGAAAAGAGAGACAGTACTTTTAAACAAGTCTTGATCATTTGTATTTTTAATTGAATTTTTTTCAATATACTTTCAAAAAAATCAACAATAAGTTTATTATTTATACAAATATTTTCTCAATTTATTATCTGTTTCTTTTTAGCTATTACAATTACACTTACATCATTAAATACTGAATATTTAACAAAATGTGAAAAACAAATAAATAATTATTTAAATAGATCTATATTTAAAATGACTTTAAATGGATTTGAAAATTGGAATCAATACATGATCAATGCTTTTTATAAATATTCTAAAGATAGATATGTTTTACCTAAATTAGATAATAAACAACAAATTATATTATATGGTCCTATAAATAATATTTATGAAGTTATTCAAAAATATCAATTAATAAATAAATTAATTCAAGATAAAACAAATTTATTATCACTTTTTACAAAAAATACATCATTAAATAATTTCAATATAATGTTAAGTTATTCACCAAATGATACAATTATATCACATCGTTTAGCTAATCGTCTTATTGATGAAGGCTTTACTATATGGATAAATTCAAATCAATCAATAGAATTCAATCAAATATTAAAAGAAATAAATAAATCTGATTGTATTATTCTTTGTATAAGTGAAAATTATTTTGAAAATGAATTATGTGAAAAAGAAGCAAAATATGCTAATGAAATAGGAAAATCTATGATTCCAGTAAAAGTTCAAAATTATGAACCAATTGAATGGTTATATAAATTAATTGAAAAAGAATCATATTTTCAATTATTTGGATCTGAAAATCATTTTAATTTAGAATATGATAAATTATTATTAAAAATTGTAAGTTTATCAGAATATAACTACAACAACCAAAAAAAAAACAGAACTCAATTTAATTTTGAGAAAGTAAATAACCATGGCTAAAGTTGAAAGAAAAATAATGTCGGGCACAGAATTTCTCACTGAAATTGAATCAAAAGGAGGCATCGTAACTAAAATCTCGATGATTTAATTAGAGATTTTAGTCGATTTAAATAACTCGTCGACTCGTAATTTATATAAAGAAACGTTCACATCAGACCTTAATAACGCCTGTTTTTACTAGATTTTGATATTTTCCGATCGTTAGAGTTCAATGAAAAGTAAGTCGTGACATTATTATGAATGTTCTTTGAAAATGCTTAATGGGATTAGAGTATTGAATGTTTCGCGGTAAGTAGAGATTCAAATTGATGTGTCGACCAGTGACTCTAGCTTTATCCTAACTTTCCTCTTCGTTGTTGGCGATGATACCTTAAATTTTTCGATCAGTTTTTTATTTATTTCGAGAAATCTTGAAATGGAAAAGAGAGAAAACCATGATGAAAAATTTACTGACAAGAAACGAAACGATAATATCTCCTAGAACAGTTTTGGAGCGTCGAAAATATTTTAAAAAATCAAAGATCTATTTTTCATGTCTTGGTGGTGACACCTGAAATCTTCAGCAATTGTTTTGAGTAATGGTAATCGCTTGGTCAGTCAGCTTTGACCTATATTGATAAGTACATATCAGAGATAAAGAATCAAAACGTAAATGTTATGATTGACATATTTCATTCATTTTGTAAGTGAGGCACTATAGAATTCCTAAGTGAAATTCTTTAAAAACACCGCTACAAACTTACTTTACGTTGAAATTTTGCGAAAACTTTCTATCAGCGTTCGGATTTGCTTGACATTCCTCTTTCTTCTGTTTGATACTTCTTCTTGCTTTTCACCTGACGTCCTTTATCGATGATCCTATATGAAGTTTCTAAGCGATATGATGAATAACGTACCATTTAATCAATCATAATTTTATATCAATCTTTACTCTATTTTTCATTTTAGTTACAATGTATAAGATACAATCATGTATCTTCATTTGAACAAACATCCAATCGATCAAATGAATTGCAACATAATGATCTCATTGAATCTTTTGAAGATAATAACACATTATTATATTTTCTACTAACACCAGAACAAAAAAAATTAAAATATGAAAAGAATATAAAAAAATTAATAAAATTAGAAAAAGGAAAAATAACTGAAGATGATAAGAAAATTCTTATTGAAAAAGTACAAGATATTATGCATGACAAAGAAAAACAATGTCAAACATATCTCTCTCAATGTAGATGGAACTGGCATATGAATCCGTTGAGCATGTTCTGGCGTATGTATTCATTTATTCGAAAATGTTTTTCTTATCTTTTTATTTTAAATAGGTTTCACAAATCCATCTAGTCCTGCTCATCAACAAAAACTGAACGAAATTACACAATGTATATGGTTTGACATTGGAATACTATCTTATCAACAATGGTTGAATAAAATAGAAAATTTAAATACAATATTAAATATTCCACCATTTACATTCACTGGTGATATTAATAATGCCATATTTCCTATGTTCAATGAAGCTTTGAAAAATTCATATCTTTTATATTCTTTGGGACAACATTATTCTTTACCAAATGAATTAGATTATCTTTCAGACAAGAAAAATATTCGTTCTATGAGTCGTTCGTCAACATCAGAAAAATTAATTATATTAAAACAACAAGACAGTACTAGTGAAAAATCAAATAATGATGAAAACGATTCTCAAACAACATCAGATCAAACAAAAAGTTCAATCATTTCTCCCTCTAAAAGTAAAAACATAATAAATAAAAATAGAAAACAAAGAAATATCAAGAAAAACTATAATGAACAAAAAATTATTATTCCTGATGAACCTCTTATAAAAACTTCTTTAAGAGAAGATCGAAATCTCGAATTCAAATTAAAATTTGCCAAACAAATGCAGAAAAATGAATATGAATTTCAAAAGTTTTGTAAAGAATATCAACATTCATTATATTTATCATCGAAAAAAAGCATTCGTAACTATCCAACAGTCATGTTTGGTCCATCTCCATTTTCAAACATAACAATCGAACCACTTAAAACAGTACAAAGACATAATAAAATTGAATTACCATTAAAATTTCCTTGGAATGGAGTTTTCGATACAAAACCTTCATCAATAGCATGGAAAGATCCATCAATATTCTTCTTCTTCGAAGCAACATCATCACAAAAAAACTAAATATAACAATTTCATTTTTATATCTTTATTATGATCAATTAAAAGAAATATCATTACAATATTATTATAGTGTATTCAGTAATATGAGTATATGACGCACACAAAAAGTTTTTTCACCCCAATTTCTTCTAAATCCTATCAATCCAGCGCAACTATTCTAACAAAATGCCTAGACATATTTAGGATTATGCGAAAAATATCAGGTTTTGAAGTTTCGATTTTCGTTGTATTTTGGATTACATGACTATACTCGATGAATGCCGTTGTTAACTCATTATTTGATATAGCCAAATTTTAACAAAGTTTTAGTACAGATTTTCTATGAGATAATAAGAGCAAAAAAATTAATGAGGCTTACAGGTAATCACCGATCTACAGACACATCAGTGGGTCTTAAGTTCGTATCGACCTCAGTTCTATATATACGGTCTGAGTCTTTACCATGAAAATGTACGATCATGAAAAGCCTGGAATATCATATAATTTTTTGGTAGAATGTCAAATGAGATCACATTCAAATCTAATATATTCTCACGTCCGAACCTATCTAACTTCGTTGCCTTTACCAAACTCAAATATTAACTAGATGGAATCGAATTCAACATTTCTAATGCGAATTCTAATTGTAACTTTTGAAATGCCTCTTGTATATATGATGTATAAAACATCCATAAATTAAAATTTTTTATTACTCTTGCAATTAAATTATGTTGTAAGAAAATCGATTAAGAATGAAAACCAAAAAAATAAAAAAAAATAAATATTTATCATTTGTCAACTAATCGATAGATATAGACAATGCCTTCATTATAAGCAGGTACAAACATTTCCGGATGTCCATCATTATCAACATCTTCAACACTAACTTGACCAATTGTTGATTTGTCAGATTGATGAATTATCTTTACGGAATATTCCCAATTTAATGGATCATTATCATGAATTGCTTCTAGTAAATACACACAACCATCGTCATCACCGGATAATATTAAAATAGGTTTCTTTCGTACAGTAAGAGAATAAAATTGAACTGTCATGGCTTGTCCTGGTGCTCCTCGACCTTTGGCTTGAACAAGTGGTTTAAAATCACTAGCAAGAACATGTTTTGTAAAATTTCCTTTTCGTATGTCACCTGATCGTGGAAGTTCATAAGCAATTAATGAACCATTATGTGCATCATTAACAGTAACAAGTAGATCCGGTTTATAATCACCATTAAGATCTAGGGTTAATTGTATGTATGCATATGGAAGTGGTTCATAGTCAATATGACGTACATGTAATTTAGTAGTATCATTCCACAATGGATCTAAATCGGACCAGAACATTTGAAGTTTACGATCAAAAAATGAATTAGCAAAAAGAACCTAGAATAATGAAATTAAACATAAGAATTATTAAATTTTTATTGATATTAATAGTATATATACTTGTAATGAATCAATTCTAGCAAATTGGACTTGAATATCTGGTCCACCTTTTGATAATAAATACTCAAGTTTCCAAGGACCAGTTATTGTTTGATTTCCTGGATTTTTCAGCCAAACTAATTGAGTTATTGGTTTACCGATAAGTGGAATATGTGCACGTGCAGTTACGATATCAATACGACCATCTCCATCCATATCTTTGAATTCAGCATCATGATAAAACCAATTTGTTCCATCATTTGGTACTAATGGTATAATATCTGTATCCGAAATAAAATACAGATTTCCATTACTTTTTCCAGGAACAAGAAAACCACTTGGAACAATCATTGAATATTCAACTAATTGATCTGCTGCTACAATACCATTAGGCCATATTATTTGATCGGTTATAAGTGTTGGTGTAATTTGTGTTGTTAATTGTTGTCCTATATTAGGTACATTATAAACATAATCGGTAGTTTCTGGAAGTGGATTGAAACAAGAGATAACTAAACCCCATGATGTGAAATTTAATGTCCATGTACGAAGAAGTGTTGAAAAACCCGCATGAGGTAATTCAAATTTATTTATAAGAACTGCTGTGATTTCACCTTTTGTTAATAACGGATAAGCAAAGATACTTACAACAAGAATAAACGGGTAAAATTGCATCGTCTAAGAAATGATAAAATAACCAAATGCAAATGTGTTATCTATATCATATACGTTTTTATTATCAGGGTGATATGTGTTGTAAAAGAAAACAATTCTCTGCAGTGTCTTACACCATTATGTAATATATTTGCTTTTACATATTATATTATATAATATAATACTATGTAACTAATTGTATGATAACTTTAACATGCAAATTTTTAAATTGTCGATATTAAATTAACTTTCTGTTCATTATCGATGAAATTAGAATTTTTGTCTAAGATAAATAAAATAAAAAAATTTAGCGTAGTGCAATCGAGTATTTTTATAGAATAGATTTGGAATATGACTTGTTGCTAATTTAAAAATAGATTGATTTGATATTTTTTTTTGTCATTGTAAAATAATTGCGTCAGGTATCACTTACTGTAAGTCATATGGTAAAACATATATATTTCAATAAAATATACTGATTAAAGTTATTCTGTGAGATGCAAATTCAAACTAAACGTATTCGTATCTAGTATACTACGAGTTGTTTTTCGATTCATTCGTTAGATATGATTATATGTAGTTTGTATTTGATATTTTTGTGAGTTCCTAATTTTTTTCAATAAAAAA